TTAGGTGGGGGAGAATGTAACGAATTTCACATCAAAAGCGTATTGGGAAAGTCTTGGGCTTATAAATGGGGGGTGTTCCTCCACCTAATAGGTTAGCATTTTGGGTGTATAATTTCCAACCTATGACATAAGGCACAGAAATAGTATATCTCGAGTAGTCAAGTGATTTGAAGCACATAAACTTTCCATTTCCTTGTTGCATTCGGAATTCACAAACGACAAAACCCTTTTTTGACCGGGTTTACGCAAAATGATCTAAAATCCTTTTAATTGTCCCTAATCAACAAATCTGCTACATTTTGATGGAGCCTAACAAAGTTTAGTACCAAATGTAGCAAAAACTAAGAAGAGATTCATACTCTTATTAATCAAATAACAACAAAGTTTAGTACCAAACGTAGCAAAAATAAGAAGAGATTCATACTCTTATTATATCAAATAACAACAGGGGTTTACAATTCAATTGAAAGCACTGCATTATTCATTCAATATCACAAGAGATCCAAAGCGGCTCATCAAATTGGCCCGTCAGTCTATCCCCAACCCCAACGGACAATGACAATTTCCCCAAATCCAACTCAATCCCAGAGTTCCATGCTGGCGTCCCATTTTCATATCCGTTCCATGTCAGCCTCCTTAACCCACTCCCATCCAATCTCATCAAATACAGATCTCCATACGGCTGAAAGTGATTAGGCCACGACACTGGCTCAGCTGTCACACCGCCCAAGTTAGCAGTAAACAACAACCACTCTCCATCGCCACTGAAGCACACGTGATTAATCCTCTCCCTGTCTGCGTCTGATCCTGCCACGTTAATTCTCTTAAGATCAGAGCCGTCGGGTTTGATGACATATATACTAAACGCATCGACGTTATCCGGATTGTGTCTGTTGGAAGAAAAAGCTATGAGGTCACCGTTAGGTGACCAGCTTGGCATTGTGTCTATCCACGGCCCCTCTGTTAACTGACGAATACCGCCATTAAGCTCACCGTTAACAGCGTCTAGTATGTATAAGTTCTTGTGACCGGACCGGCCAGAGCGAAACACGAGGAACTTGCCATCTGGCGAGCACGAAGGAAAGGCGTTATTACCCGTTTCTTCTTTCGTAAGGATTTTTACATCACAATGGATTTCTTCATGACCATCGATTAGGTTTGCGGGACTGAATGAGATACGAGCAATCTGAACCGTCGTCTTCACGGACTCAAAGATTGGACCCACTGAGGTATATATGATGTGTTTCTCCGTGGGACTCCAAGAGTTGTAGAAACATATACGATCTTTAACGAGAGTCCATCGCTTTGAACCGTCGGATTTTATAATCTTCACACCACCATTATGCGATTCAAAATCGGGATTCAATGCGATCAAATCACCATTTGGAGAGAAAGAAGGAAATGACCCATTGACTCTAAGCATCCGGAGTTCTTTGATCGGAGATATTACCGGATCGAGATGCGGAGCAATTAATTCACCTTGAGCTGACTCACCTCGGAACCGGTGGTAACCCAGAAAATCAGAATCAATGGAGACAAACGGGTTATAGTGGTGGTAATTCGGGTTGAGTGACTCAGTCACGGAGTGAAACAGCCTGGACTCGAGATCAAAAATCTCAATGTGCCTGTAATTCTTGCTTTTTCTCCGAGTTGCAACGGCGAGTCCTTTACCATCGTGAAAAGCCGCTGGAGTAAAGCAGTGGACCCCAGGTGGAGTCACACGGATAGGAGCTTTCGGGAAACCAGAAAATTCAAGATTTTCAGAGAAATCGACGCGGAAAATGCTCCACCACCCATCATCAGCTTGGCGATGAAAGTAAATGGTGGAGTCACCAGACCAGGTGGGCCACCCACCTCGTTCACAAACAATTATACGCTTATTCGGATCGGATTCTTGAAAGACAACTATATCCGTATTAATCTCATGGAATTCACCACCCCAAGGACGAGACCCATATGAGGCAACTGCTATAAATTTGCCAGTATGAGAAACACTAGGACTGTAATCAACTTCTCCATGTGGGGTCAATCTGATGAATTTGCTTCCCTTAAGATCAGATGAGTAAAGAGCGGACCAGCTCTTGAAGGGTTGATCGGGCTGTTTGTGAGCTGAAATGAAGTAAAGCTTGTCGTTTTTGATGATGGGGCGGTCGTGGAAGAGGCTGCTGGGTATAGATGGTAGCTGCTCCGTTTTGGTTGAGGCAGGTCCAGTCAAGTAAATACGGGGCGCACCTGAACGCTCGGAGATAAAAATGATGGTTTGGTCCTTGGAGTTGACAAATTGGGCATTGAAATTGATGGAAGTAGCATCGGTGAGGCGGTGTTCAATGATGTGTTGAGAATTAAATGGTAATTTGATAGAGAAGATATCGAAACCGTAGGAAGGTCTGCCCAGAGTAGTGAAGAGGATGGTGCCTTTGGGATCCATTGGAAGTAGTAAAGTGGGAGTGTTGGAGATCGTACTGGTGATGGTTGTGGTGGAGCTTTTGAAGAAGCGGCCACAATTAATGGATATGTATAAGTCCAAGGATATCTGTTTGGATGTGGTGTTGCGTAGGAACTGACGTAGCATATTTCTTTTGGCTGTGGACCTGATGGTGCGTAGGAGCTAGCCTCCCATATTTTACCTGGGTCATTTGGTCAAATTGTCAAAATAAAGCTTGTTAAATAAAGTTATATTAAATACTTGTTAATCCTCTGGGAACATCGGGGATGTAGCTCAAATGGTAGAGCGCTCGCTTTGCATGCGAGAGGCACGGTGTTCGATCCCCCGCATCTCCATGGTTATTATATGTTTTGTAGTTTGTACACAACTTGGACCTGCATGCATTTAATCATAACAAAATGGATAAAGAAGAGACTTTGATGAATTTATATAAAATGAATAATGCGCGCGAGTTGATTTAATTTCAATTGTTAGCAACTTTAATGTCAATGACACATTTTAAACAGGAAATTGATTATTATTAATGTTCTTTTAAAGTCCTCGAAGAAATCAACGGTTGTTGTACTATAAGACAATACTTTGTAAATAGTAGGGTTGTAATGTGTCTACACTCTACAGCAATCTTATGTGATGACTACATTTTGTTTACTTCTCGTGGAAATAATAATTTAGGCAGCAGAATTTATGGCAAACACTTTTTGTTTTTTTTACCCATATTAAATCCCTTGTTATTGTCGAAAAGGCAAGCATTGTTAATGTTGCATATCAAATCCACTAAATTTAGAATAAAGTTCCAGATTTGCCTTCAGATTGAAAAGCTTTTGTGAAGTCACTTCAAGTTCTGACAATCGTCTATAACTTTGAAGCGATATTCATAAGCTTAAGTGATTAAAGGTAGGGATGAGTCAGGACAAATCCCGAAATGAATTATCCAAATTTGTACTAATAAACATGTTACATGCATGAAACACTGAAGAAATAAATTTTTTCAGGGGTCTGTCTCGTACACTAAGCAAAACATCACTCCAACAATATAACACCCAAAACACTACAAGTGATTAAATCTTTCAATTATGGCTAATAGCAAATAGCAATTAAAGTCAATTATGTCAGTTATTATTTCAGTCTTGAAATAATTATACTATTCCCTCCAATTTTTTTAACATTATAATATTAGTAATTTAGGTTCTAATTTCAAGTGTTTATTATACTTTCATTGCTTTTATCTTCTTTGGTGTCAAACTTCTGTATTTTACACTTTTTTTTTTTTTTTTCTTTGGTAGCAGTTGTTTCGAGGATCTGTTCTAGCTTTCAACAGTAAGCTTTACAGACTTCAACTTGCCACAATCTACATATGTACTGTCCTAGTGATGATGTTGTTTTTGGTATTTCTTTGGATAAATCAGTTTGTGTTATAAAGTAATGGTGAAAGGATTGAAGCATATTACTGAAACATAAAACTAGTATTAATTTGGAAGACTATGGTATCTTTGATGGTTTTGATGAATGTATGTCTATTTTAACAGTTACAGGCTTACAGCTGAAGGTTTTCATCTCCTCTTTTCTTAGTTGTCATTTTGGATTCAGATACTCTCTATAAGTTGGATTTTTGTATTCTAAATTTATATTTATGCAGAAGAGTACTTGAAGAAACTTTTTCATTAAGAAGGAGAGAAATTTGATGAGGAGACACTGTTAATTTAAATGGCGTCAGAAAGAAAAATTAATATTACTCCAGTTTGCGTCACCCAGTCTTGATGCAGGCCGAAAGTATTTTAAGCCCACGCGAAGAAGGCCTACACAATGATCAGTATAATATCTCAAACCCAAAATAAATAACAATTACTCACCACTATAAACAAATAAAGCAGAGACGACAATGGAGAAAAGAGGGCAGGAGCAATTCTGGAGGGAAAAGAAATGATTTTGAATTGATCTTCCCTTTCATCAATGGTGATTACTTAAAATCAGGAGCCAACAATAATGTTACAGCGTATAGTGTTAATAGTATTAGCAATAACTCGAGCACCACAGCCTATTTAACGATGGTAGGGTCATCAGAGTGTAGCCAACTTTCATGGCTGTTGAAATGGTAAAAGCAATAATTGACAACTTCACTTTTTCTATTCAACTATTCTATTATCCCGATTAAAGATACAGAAAAAGTGTGAAGGTGGAGCCAAATACATAGATTTCTAACTGTTCCCGTTGCTGTTATCGACTGTTATAACAATGTGATCATGTGATAATGGCTACATGAATTGAATAAACTATTGACCCAGTTGCAATAAACTAAAGTTAAACCTTAAAATATTATGAAATTTTATGAATAGGACATTGAATGCATTGCTAGTAGTAGTTATGCAGAGAATAGAAATATTTCAATTAATTTAAACAAGTTACTTCCATGAATTGCTGATTGAACGGATGCCTGATTAATTTTTCTAAATTCTAAGATGGCTAAATTATAAAATGTCTTCATATATAGTCAACATTATGTTGCTCTGCGGCCCTTATAAATTTGAGGGACCAGAAGGTAATACAAACAGCAGATCCAAGAGCCGTTTAGAATTTTGAGCAAGAGTCGATATCAATAGAACTAGAACTTCATCAATGTCTAAGCCAAGGTAAACATCTCTTACTTTAACTCCTCTCAGATCTGCCTGTTCATTAACAATCTTTATCTTGTATGTCCACTTAAATCTCAATCTGAAGTAGTCGTATGATTTTTCAGGTTGGAGGGTAAGGTGGCGCTTATCACTGGTTCAGCTAGTGGGATCGGTGAGGAGGCAGTGAGATTATTTGCTGAGAATGGAGCTTTTATTGTAGCTGCCGATGTCCAAGATGAACTTGGCCACCAAGTTGTTGCATCCATCGGCACAGACAAAGTTTGTTATCACCATTGCGATGTGAGAGATGAAAAGCAAGTTGAGGAAACAGTGAGTTACACCTTGGAGAAATATGGAAGGTTAGATGTTTTATTCAGCAATGCTGGAATCATAGGCCCATTTGGTGGCATCCTGGATTTTGACATTAGTGGATTTGACAACACCATGGCCACAAATGTTCGGGGAGTAGCAGCCACAATCAAATATGCAGCTCGTGCTATGGTGGATAGAAATATTCGAGGATCAATCATATGCACAACAAGTGTTGCATCTTCACTTGGAGGAACAGGTCCACATGCTTATACCATATCAAAACATGCTCTAGTTGGTTTAGTGAGAGCAGCCTGCAGCGAGCTAGGCGCTTATGGTATCAGAGTTAATTCCATCTCCCCATTTGGAGTTGCCACACCTCTTGCATGTACAGCTTATCATTTGAAACCTGATGTAGTTGAAGCTAATACTTGTTCTATTGCCAACTTGAAGGGCATTGTCTTAAAGGCTGGGCACATTGCGGAGGCTGCATTATTTCTGGCTTCCGATGAATCTGCTTACATAAGTGGCCACAATTTAGCTGTTGATGGAGGCTTCACAGTGGTTAATCACAGCTATTCAACCTAAGTGCGATGGCTTTTCAGAATGAAGGAGCCAATCAGCCAATATTTTATGTCTGGTTGGCATTAATTTATTGCTTCCATGTAAAACTAAAGTATTTTTATTATCAAGTCAAACCTTGTTACCTGCACTTCGCATGTGCATTTTCCTTGTAATCTGCAATGTTATTATTATAATTTTTCTGAAAAAAAAATAAAAAAAATTACCCAAATCATAGATTCATCAATCTTGTAGTTTCATGCATCCACAGACACCCCACTCCCCCTCCTCTGCTTCTCTTTCAGCTCTGTTTTCATTAAAGGACAAATAAACCCTGAAAAAAAGAGAGATACTAATTGTCTTATTTATCTGAAGAGCCGTTTCAATACAAATTTCTTATAAACAAATCGCACATGCCAACCCAAAAATAAGAAAGCTCGTCTTTTCAGTTGTAGTCCCAAATTACGGAGGCATAATTTTGTCAACCTATAATTTTGGCTGTTTATATATATATATATATGATGATGTGAAGGCTCCCGCAACTTACGTTCTTGGACTCGGACTTGCTGAAGGAAGCCACGATGGTTTCTTTCTTGTGCGAAATTTATATATATTTGTTTTAGAGGGCTGTGGAAGCAAGTGTAATGTGGTTAGCATGTATTACGGCGTAGGAATTAAGTAGTATGTGGCCTTTACACCGAATCAGGGGACAACTGTCATGTGATTTCTAGTTTTTTGTGTTAAAACTACTCACTTGAAGGCATCGCTTTAATTACTTGGTTTCGGGGTTGGGGCATTTAATTAAACAATTTGTCTTCACTTATAAAAACAAGTTATGCTTCTTCTTGGTTACCATTTATTCTACATGTGTTATACATGTTATGTGATTGTGAATGTCTTGTTGTTCGAATTTTGTAATTAATTATTATTTCTCCTCATAAAAAAAATAATAGATCAACCAATGTAAAAAAGTGTTAATGAGTCTGTTATGCATAAAAAATCAGGACTAACGCGAGCTTATGTCAATCAGTATCAATCTGAGTTTAGGAAGACTTTGTGCTGTTTAAGAGCTGTCACATCATCCAAAGACAGAAAGAGTATAGCTGTCATCAACTTGGCAAACTCAAGCTTTATCTATAAGTGGATGAGAGTCGTTCACCTGTCTAAACCCTACGCGATTTGAGGATATATTCTATATAATCAACCAGTGGGAAGCGCGGTAAGAATTGTATTACACCTGCCCACTTATAGATTTGTAATCATTACCCTGAAACATTCTACTATAAATAGAGAGCTCCTCCTCTCATTTTCGGGATTCGGATAAAAAAACTCGCATTCTGATTGTAACATTTGATTCCCATAACATAGTTAACCTGCGAGAAAGAAACTGACTTGATATTCTCTTTGAATAATTATTCTTTTGTACTTCTGCTCGCTATTCGCTATACGCGACCTCCTGTAACTCATATATATATATATATATATATATATATAAATAGTAGACATAGGATTCGCTTTAAGCATCCGAACTATTTTAAAACTCATATTCTATTTACTTTCTTGCATCTTTCCATTCACATGTAATTTCTAAATCAGTTTAATACTTTACACATATGAATTGTTATCAAAATCAAGCATTAATAAATCAAATCAATCGTTGATATCAAAATCAAGTATCAATAAGTCAAATCAACATGGTAATTACATATTCTGTGTTTTCGTGAGAATATATGAACACATTGAAATGATAAAGACTTACGAGTTTAACTTGGAAATTCTTCTTTTGTTGCTTACAGCCTAAGTAAAGCACCAACCATTCAGTTCCATGTTCTGGGTTCTGGCGACATGATTTTTGCCAATTTCTTCAACCTACAGCCCACGTCTACCCAAATTGTGTGGCCCAGAGCGCAAATAGACTGTCCAATAATATTATAAGGTTAATTTTTTAAAAACTAACAAACACCGTGTCAAAATTGCAAGGAAATTCATTTTATCTTTCAATCAACTGACGTACTGAATAGGAGATTATACACACAGAAAACAAAGCATACAAATTGATTGTTAAAAAAAAAATTGACCCGCTGATATTGTGAATGAATCTCAAAATTCATTCCTAGTAACATATATGCCTCGCTTAATTAATTTACTGAAAACAAATAGGTACTGGAAAGCCTAGTGAAACTGTAAGTTGGAAAAGCACGTCCTGGAATTGAGTGGAACTAATCACACAGTATTGTAACCATTGAAGAAGACATATCATCAATCTTCTCCATCAAAATTTGCTTTAAACTGAGAATAATCTCCTCAGGGTACTATTAATTAACACTTGGGTTCACCTTCACCCTAACAATTGTTCCATCTTTACTCTTTATCGTGAATTTAAGAATGAGAAGCGAGTTGAGTAGTTCGTGAGTTACTCAAGTTTGGCTTGTGAAAAACTCAGACTCAATTCAAAGTCAATCGAATGAAGCTCAAGCTCGAGTAGCTTGTTTAAGGGGTCGAGCCGAGTTCGATCCAGGTGAAGCTTGGCTCGATAGGCTCATCGCGTTCGAAGGGCCAAATTACAAGTTTTGTAACTTTTTTTTTCAAGTTTTTAAAATGACAAACAATCCTCTTCTCACAATAAACTCGAAGCTCGAGCTCAAATACCTACTCATACTCGTTAGCTTGAGCTCGAGCCCAAGTATTTAAACTCGAACTCAAACTCAAACTCAAACTCAATACTATTCATCACGAGCTAAGCTTGAGTGTCTAGATAGTTGCTTATATCCACCCCTAAGTGATTATCTTTCACATAATTTATCAACGTCAGAATGACTAGTGTTCCCTACTTGTCACTTTTATTTGTTTATTGTTACTATATCTTTAGCCAGACAGTCAAAACTACCAGTCCCATATTAAATTCAAGCCACTATCTAAAATCTTCATCAGCTAAGCAACTTGTAAAGCATACACCTAAAATGAACAACTGCATTTCCTCTCTTTGAGATAAATTTTATCACATCCTCCAGGACAACACACACATATATAGTATTGATCAGAGCCAAAGAGGCGGCGGTCACCATGGCACTGGTGGTGTGTTGGTATGATTTCGTTTGTTTTGGCATTGTGGCTGCTTCTTTTATTGGCTCCTTGTGGGTGATATGGAGGAAGGAACGTTCCTCCAGATGCGATGATAATACCATTTATGAAAGCCTGATAGCGGCTCGAACAGACAGTGATGCGTTCGTACGTGCCACCCCTAAGGCTCATGTTGGTTCCTCCCAGCTTTGGACCAGTTGCTGGAAGGGGGTGCACCCTGGATGGCTCCTGCTGACTCGTTTCGTGTCCTTAGTAGCCATGGCCGGATTCTTGTCATGGGATATTGCAGATTGGGGTGCAACCATCTTTGTCTACTATACTGAGTAAGTTCTAACATCAGTTCACTTTAATCAGTATTAATTAATTTGATATTGCGGTTTTTACAATCTATCAGTATATTTTGAATTTATATCTTCGTAATGAGTACATCTTTGCTTGGAATTAGGCTAATTAATCAAAATTTTAGAAAACTTCTGATTAACGCTAATGTAATACTGTATAGGGTATTGAAGAACGAGAAAAAGAATCTTGGACTATCTGGTGGCGAACTAATAGTCCATACAACATTTTAAAAACCTTAATTTGACTAAGACAATATTTTATGATCTACCGACCGATCTTAGCATGAGACAAGGCACATTCAACAATTTAATATATTATCAGTAATAGTCAGAAATTTGTCTTTCATAAATGATGAAAAAATAAAACAAAATTACAGGCTAGTTTAAGAAATTACCTGGTCAATAGTAGTGTTGTACCACCATAGCTATATTTTTAACGTTACACTCTATAATCTTTAACTATTATGTTATATAATCTTCTTCTAGTATCTGACTGCTGAAACTAATTTGCTAAAGTAATGATTGCTTATTAATTTTTTTAATTTTATTTAACCAGTGGAAGCCAATGACTAAAGGAGCACTTCGAAAGATTGCTTCTGTAGTTTCCAAATCAGTCCCTAGATCATGTATTCATTGTTATCTCATGTTGGTATATTGTATCTTCAATCTGTAACAGCTTTGTCAATAGGAAAGCAGAGGACTTGTTTCAAAACCTCCTTTAAACCTGCCATCTTTATTGCCCGATTCTCCCATTGTTCTTAGTTTGCTATATTTAATAGTCTAAACTTAGATAGCAAGTGCCAATTTGTGCCTTGCTGATCTTAGTCCCAGCTCTTATTGCTTCTTGTGTTATCGAGAACGTAATAGCAAAGCCTTTGAATTTTGATGATCTTTGGAAATCATGTTGGAGAAAGCTCAATCCTCTCTAGCTTCTCAACTATAGAACTTTTGCTTTTCATTGTTTAGCTCTTATAGATGAGATTGTTACTCAGTAAGTTCATATCCGATTTCCCTTATAATTTTACTCATTTTCCTATCCAACTCAATATCAATTAAGAGAGGCAAATAAAATTTTGGCTTGTTGCAAGTTCTTTTTCATGTTCCTTGAAATGAATCTTTTCTTAACTAACTGAGAAAACAATGTTTTCATACTATTTGAGGGCTTGTCATAGTGTGGAGATTCTAAGTGTAAGTGAAATACTTTTGTGATTTAGCATTGGGGTATTTGTTTTCCCCATGTGCAACCAACCTTTCTGTTGGAGTTATTGTTACTGATAAATTCCCTTTTTTGGTGGTATAATTGATCTGCAGGTGGACATTTACATTAGTTATGATCTATTTTGGGGTACGTCAAGCACTTAATCCCCTTTTTTATTTTTGTTTGCTTTGGTCTCTTTTTGCCTTCATTAAAAATGATCGTGTATACTAGTAAAATTAACTAACACCAAACTCATTTTAAAGCCACTGATGAATTATACTGTGTAGGTGGGGACAATTGTATCTGCATATGGATGTTGGGTTTATCGAAAGGAACCCCCTTCTGCAAATGGGGTAAATGGGGTAAGGGAAGAGTTTCTGAGAAGGGATGTTGAAGAAAGTATAACTACAAACAGTTTTACTTATGGGGAAAAAGAAATAAAAGGTAACATCAAATTGCAAAGCCACTATGCTGAGGAGGTCATTCAACACCGAGCCGGATTTTGGGGATATCTTATGCAAACTATCTATCAGGTTAATCCTTCAAAACGCTTATATCAATCCAAAAGTGCCCCACGTCTTTCAGCCCCCAAATCTTAACTTACTTGGTTATTTTGTTTTAATTTATTCTTTTTCATCCTAGTGCCTCTATTCCATAGCCAAATCTTAATATATGCTTTTACTTACTGGTTTTTATTGTGTTTATTTTAATTTTTGTATAGGCTTGTGCGGGCGCTGTTATCCTAACAGATATCATATTTTGGTGTGTTATTGTACCATTTTTATCAAATGCTCATCTGGCCCTGAACATGGTGAGAGTCCACTTCTTTATTGTCAAAATTTCAGTTGCATTAACCGAAAAAAAATCCAAAATTCCATTACAAAGTTGGCTTCCATATATCTATATTTACAATTCTTTGGCTTCATCTCGCAATTGTCCTCTAGTCTAATCTGTGTTATAATATTTATCTGAACTTGGCAGTTGATGGGTTGCATGCACACATTGAATGCTGCTTTTCTTCTGCTAGACTCGGCGCTCAATAACCTTGTGAGTAGAGCATAATCCATTATAAGCGGCCTTTACTACCATTCATAAAATAAGAACACAGCGTAGTTAACAGCTGTTTTGTTTAATGAACCAGAAGTATAGTTTCCAAGCGAGGAAAAGATTAATTTTTGATATTTAACATCTCTGGAATTCCTTTAGTATACTATGCTTTCACAGGTTGGGTGATGCCTATTTCCATCTTGTTTTCCAGCCATTTCCTTGGTTTCGGCTTGCATACTTTGTCCAGTGGAGCTGTCTCTACGTTGTTTTCCAATGGGTCATTCACGCCTGTGGTTTTTCATGGTAACCCTAATTATTAGATTTACTCTGTCCTATATTTTAAAATGATAGTTAAACTGGCTTCTACATATTTTCCATTTCGGCTCAAGATTTGTTGACATATTTCGAACCTCTTGCAGGTGGCCGTATCCTTTCCTCGAGCTGAACACACCTTGGGCTCCTTTATGGTATACTATTGTTATCTCAATTTCAATTCTAACATGGGTTTGATAATCCCGTTTTTAGCCCTTCAATAGAATTGATATAAAATTAATAGAATATTTCTGCCCTACAGGTATTTCTCTATGGCCGTGATTCACATACCCTGTTATGGCATATTTGCACTGATTATGAAGGCCAAATATACAATTCTTCCCAGGTGGTTTCCTCATGCTTTCTTGAGGTCATACTAGTTTCTTGTGATAAATGTCTTTCATTCTTCACTCTGATTGTGAAGAATGAAGAATGTAAAGCTGGGAATATTGAAGCCTGTCCCCTCTGGAAAATTATTGCTGTCTGTCATTGAATAGTGTCCGAGTGGTTTGTTGCATAAATACATATTTATTTATTTATATAATATACATTTTTAACGTATATGAAATATCATCAGATATGTGTTTGGTACGTACAGAAATTCCTTCGGATAACACAATCCAAAATACTCAGAAGACCTATAGTTACTGTGGTAGTTTTTTTGGCCACGTAAGTGCTACAATTAATAGTTAAGATTTTCACGGCAACTAAACACTATATAATATCAGAAAAGAAATCAGCTATGAAAGTATAGCTTAAGTGGTTCATTTGACGAGTCTCCTACTCTCCTATGCTTTAGGATTACCGGATTAGTGGCTGTCTTACCCATACTCGGGACAATCTAAAAATCTTTTAACAGTTAGAACCTGTAAAGCTTCATTAAATTTTGGAGTTTTGAAGCTAAGTTAATAATTTTCTTATGTGAATCTTTTTCCCAAAAAAAAGTATACGAGGAAACAAACTGTCTGATTAGAAACGCTCATAACTGTTGAATTTGCCCTACATGATTAGAGGACTAGAAGAATATCCTTCATTAGAAGTCCTACATAAACCAATAACACACAGTAATTTGCAAAATAAACTCCAAGACTTGCTGACATCAAGAATTATGCAGCTAATTGTCAGCTAAACATCGTTTGTTCACCACTTTCAAGATAACATTCTATTGGCCTAAAGCCTAACAATTCATTCATCATTACATTCCGTTGCGATTTCAATTCAGTGCACAATCTGTCTTAATATTTTAATGATTCAAAGCAATTATGTCCGATCATGTATACACATTTGACCAAAAGCCAATTTAAAATGATTCAAATCAATCTCAAGGGCTTATCATATCATGCGAATGTAATCAAGGCCCCCCCCCCCCCCCAAAAAAAAAAAAAAAAACTTTGTATATTAATTTCTTCAAGATAACGACTAATAAACTCCTAAATGACAACATGACAGATAAAAATGTTGGTCAAGTAACAGTTTTGATTGTCTCAAAAACCTAAAAGTGAAAATATCACTCATTAAATGAGAACCAAAGCATTTCCAACGTAGAAAAAATCTAGAAACGGCTTATACGAGATGTAAGAAAAACACAACATAAATTCAAAAGCTATAAGCATATGTGCTCATTTAGATTTATAGCAGAATGATATAAAAAAACAAACGCACAAAAAAACTTGAAAGGACTTGCCACTCACAGAAGATGGAGACCACTCCATCACGCTTCTAACTGGACCGAGGATCGCTAAATATGAATTAAATATTCTTCTAAATTCTTATAAATTTCCATCATCACGAAATCTTAAAAAAAAAAAAAAAAAAAAGCCGTCACAAAAATCAATCAAATGATAAAACAAAATTTCTATAAAGCCCAACAATGTAACTAATCCATAACAAATCCAAATTAGGATTAACGAAACAAAACTTAAGTCCAACAATTACTCAATAACCAAAAAAATCACAAAAGAAGTAGACGAGGACGATTAATCACCACCAGCCTTCTGGTAAACATAGGTGAGACCACTTACCACAGTAGTGCCTATCGAAATGATTGGCCATAAAAGTCCCTGCACCACACTCAGCATTTGGGCACTCCTTCCTTAACCTCTGCACTTTTCCAGAATCATCCACCTTGTAAAACTGCAACACGGCCAACTTCACCTTCTTTTCGTGCTTGATTTTCTTGGGCTTAGTGTAGGTCTTCTTCTTCTCTTCTTGCCCCACCACGAAGGCGAAGCACCAGGTGGGATGTGACTCCTTCTGGATATTGTAGTCCGCCAAGGTGTCCATCCTCGAGCTGCTTGCCCGCGAAGATTAGCCTTTGTTGGTGGAGGGATTCCTTCCTTGTCTTGGATCTTGGCCTCACGTTGTCGATTGTGTCCGAAGACTCACCTCCAACGTATTGTCTTGCCGTTAGGGTCTTCACGAAGATCTGCATCTTGTTTTGCTGCTAATGAGAAAGAGGGCTACGGCCAAGGTAAGGGTAATTAAAGAAGATAGAGAGGAGGGTTAGGGTTTTTGTGGGATTGGGAGTGAATGTGTGTATATTTACATATATATCCTTGCCATTTTTCAGAAATGGCAAATTATTGGCCGTGTTTAGAAGTATGATGTGGCAAATTGGTATGGGTGCTCAATATACAAAATAATGTTTTTTTGTTTTAATTCTGCTATTGAAAAAAATATAAATGATTCTAAATAATTCTACCGGGGAATTACATAAGAGATTAAAATTTTTTTTTTTTTTAAAAAGATGTATTTATAATTAATTTTGACAAACATTCTTATTCTTATCTAGTCCTAGGAAATTTCCTGAAAACAAATAGAAAATAGCCCGGAAGCACAAAATCTATATTTATATAACCAAAAAGAAAAAAAGAAAAAAAAAATATGCTCTTTAATTTGATGTAAGAAGGGGTGAAGAGGCTTGCCCATTCCCATTAAGGCCTTAATCACAAATGCGTCCAACTTCCTTGAGTTCAGAATTGCCAACGAGTGGGACAAGAACTAAAGAAAAACAAGGCCTTCTTTTGGCCCAATAATTTTTGGTGTTGAGTATCGCTACGCCTTTGTTTTCATGTTATTCATCAGTTTTCTGTGGACGGCGGGAATTTAATCTATCTTCATGTAATAGAATCATCAACAAAAAATTACCAAGAGTCAACGTCAATACTTAGGAATTTATCCAAGAAATAAAAAAATTAAAGCCATGACATTATACATAGCAAGCTTTGCCATTGTTATTTCTACTGTCTGTCCAAAGTTTGTATCAGCTTTGATTATTTGAGAGTAATCTTTGCCTACATGATACCATACCAGCATAACACTGAGTAAACATGAAAGCATCCATCCATACCAGATAAAATTAATACATCAAGATGGAACACTCTGTGTAGCACTGAATTAATTATCTTTCCCCCTTCTCTTATTTTGATATAAGATTTTTAGTTGCAGTTGCAAATAATATTAAACACTTGGAATCTTAATTTACCCATTACACGTACACTTCCATTGGTTAAAAACATAATGATATATTATAATTAGTACACAACATTTAACACTTACATTTGGAAATCTCATACAGAATACAGGTCAGAAAAAAATTATTAAAGAATGATGCAAACGATTTCGTGCACCGAAAACGAACATTCTCAGTAGAAAATTAATCAATAGACTTGATTGACAACACTGCAACATCTCCTGATCTCACCCTGTGTGCCTGTAAGCACATCAAGGGAACCCATGTGCACCATTGCTTTGGCATACTTGGCACCCCACGATGCCCCATTCCATGCATTCTTCAATACAATCTTTGAGGTTAAGGGGCTGTCCATCAATGCCTGATCCGAACTCAATAACCCACGATGTTTTGTCAACTCCTTGTAGTACTTATTGTCCAAAACACTAGGCGTTACAGATTCGAGTGCCACTATTGGGTCTCTCGCCCCATTTTTTGGTGGCGGACACTTGGTTCTCAAGAAAGATGCAAAACTGGGATCCATAGCTGGATCTTGGGCATGAGTTTCATTGAAAGAGTAGAGACGGTTTGAGAATGAAGAGCAATGTGAGACACCAAGAGTATGTGCTCCAGAAAGTGTCACCATCTCATCAACCGACAGCCCTTTTCGGGCAAACGCTACAGCTATTTGCTCCGCACTGAAAGAAGGAGGAGGGAGATTTTGCGTTGCTTCATCGCTCACAGAGACCCGGCCATCTCGGCGTCCAGCTGGAACGGCGTAGTTTATGCCACCAACTTTGTATGAACTGTCGCGAGCTGCGAAAGCAAGAATGTCGGCACATGACACAGTTTGTGGACATGTAGCCTCTATTTGTGCTTTGGCCTCATCAATCACCTCGAAGCCACGTAAGCTTGGATTGTTGGCAGGATGGTCTCTCTCGACTGCTGTGTTTGCTGGTGTGGATTTCAGCAGCACGGAAGCTTCACAACCCTGAAAAAATAAATAAAATGTTACATTAGCCATGAACAATCTCGTTTATAAACAATGATATCAAGTTATCAAAAAGATGAAAATTATGAGCATACCCGAACAAAACAGTCATGGAAGTGCATTCTAATTAGACCAGCAGCTATCCCAGGGTTGCGGGACACAGCTTTGTTCACAGCTTTTCTCACAATTGTTTCAGCTGATGGACATGTTGATTTATAGAAGCCTACTTTGAGTTTGGCTGATGATGCCAAAGTCAGAGTGGAAACAAATAGGATACATATGATGCAAGATAGCGCTGCAAGGCTCTGCATTTTATAGCAGCTACCAGTTATCACTGTTATGAAACTGAAAATATATAGCAAAATAGCTAGCTTAATTACAAGCAAATGCTTAAAGTTTGAAATGAGAGGGTTGAGATGTGAGTTGTAAATGGAGATGGAGGTGACGAGACTAGGTGATCTTCTGATAGTATTTATAGGTTGGAAGGTGAAGTTGGTATTACTTGAAGCTCCAAAACCGTGTGTAGCTGTAATCTTAGCAATGAGTTGAAGTTTTCTAACCTATAACAGCTCTGGATTATTATAATCACTATTTCCACGCTTTCGTGTGTTCAATCATTTGTACCATTTTTGGTAACACTATAAAGATATGCTTGTCCTCTTTTAATTTTGGAATTAAAATCTACAATAAACCAGTATCTAGAGTAGAGCACGCCACATTCAACTTGTGTTTTACCTGAAGACGGCCATGACCAATGAGACATCATGAGTTTCATTATTCAATTAAACTCTTATATAACTTATAATGTGGTAAATGACAGGAAGAAATGTATCAATCGATCATCCCTTTAAAATGCCACTTGGAACCCCACATAGCAACTTGTTAATTTTAAGAAGAGTATTATAACTAGGCCACGAAACCATGTTTATAAAATATAAAAAAGTGAAACGTTGCCAAATCTATAACTAAAGTTAAAAATGGCAGTGAGTTGTAACCACTAACATTGTCATTGACCAAAAATACAATCAAGATGCAAGGGAAGTTACTTAATTCATTAAGCAGCAGTGGAGTAGAAGTAGAACCCAGCTAATCATGAATTTCATGGAAAGCACATTAATTTGTTTTATATTTGAAAAACGACAAGTGCAATGGACGATTGTGGTAGTAATGGTATACCTTTCTCAATCTCAACTCTACTTTGACTCAATCTTCATAATTAAGATTGTAAAAGCTTGGTTTTAACTTTTAATTATAAATGAAACATTGATTGGGTGGACGTAGCATGAATAATTCAAAACCATACTATATTCATTAGTATTTTCCAAGGTTTTGTTATGACATCAATCTCATGTTTAATGTACAAACATGCAGCTGCCTGCCTCTATATATGTAAATTGTACAAGAAGGTGATTTAATTCAATTTGATTTTGTAGAAATTTATAAATTAAAACAATAAATTGGTACCTTTTGTTCATTAGTTAGGGAGGAAAGTTGAGCAGCAGATAACATGATTCTGAATAAATGTTCTAAGGGAGGTTTACCAAGTCAACAAAAGATGACTTGTCTTTCACGTAGCCAAACAAACAAAACGACTTGTCATTTTCCCTGTATACTTATAATTTGTAATCCACTGTTTACACAGTCAAACGGTAATTGACGTGTCGTTTACTGACCAACAACCCTCTGTCTAAAACGGCTGGTTAATTAGATTTAGTTAGTGTTTTTATTGGAAATAGTGAAAATATTAAAAAAATAGATTTATCTACCAATAATATTTTAGAAAAAAGAAAATAAAATACTTGACTGAAAATGATATTTTAAAAATTAAGATTACATTTAAAGACAAAAATGAACTTTGATAATAAAAGATGTAATAAAAATATAATGTAAATCGAATAAAAGAATCATGTATATACAAAAAGTAATACCTATATTTATCTTTTAAAAAAGTATTCTTTTTATTTTATTTTATTTTCTTCGTGAAAATAAAAAAGCATATTCAAATAACTATTTTATATTTTTGATTTTTCAAAGAAAAAAAATGAAAATACACCAATTAAGCGGCGAAGTTTATTAAAAGACCATTTGAACTTACAATTTAATTAAAAGGCTATAGAATTTGTAAATTTTAACTAAATGGCCTTGTTTTTTATTAAGCTTAATTAAACATGATTAAGGGGTTAATTGAAATTAATGAATAATTGTGTAATCTTTTAAAAATTATAATAAGTCTCCAAAGAGTCAAAAATCTTGCAAACAAACCCAAACAGTACCTTCTTCTTCCTCTCACGACATTAATGCATTCCTCCACCATTGACATCTTCTCCAAGACAGATCGTCGTCGTCGTCATCGTCCTCCTCCTCCTCCTCCTGACATTTCGTCCAGGTAAGTGTATTTCCCCTTTCGATTTACAAAGATTTAATGATGAATTGGGTTTGTGTTATGATTTTGATTTAGTTTTTTAGGTTGTTGGGTTGTGTTTGATGTAATGGAACTTGAAAAGAGTGAAATTTGTTGAAAAATTACTTGCATTATGGGTAGCTGGGGGTGGTAGCACCGATTGTAGGTGGAGAGACTGAAAATGTGTTCTGGGTATGATGGATCGCATAAGCGATCTGGTGTATCGCTTAAGCGATCTGGTACGCTGGTAATACAGTAGATAGATCGCTTAAGCGATCAGGTATGTGGCATAAGATCGCTTAAGCGATCATGCTTATTTATACTGGATCGCTTAAGCGATCCATTATATCGGTTAAGCGATCCAGTAAATGATATACCAGATCACTTAAGCGACTGTGCAGATGCTTTTTAAAATATTGATTTGACTTAGTACATCTGTTAAGAATATTTTTTTTCTTGCATTATAGGTACTTGGCAATTATTAGACATGGGACAAGTTGTTTTGGGTGTTGAATATTTTGGTGAGTGAGTAGAGGAAGAAAGTAGCTGGAAGTGGATTGGGAAGAGCAAAGAAGTTATACCAATTGCTGTGAGCCGAGAGGTTAGTTTTGATGAGTTGATTGATGAAATAATTATAAGAAGTGAATTGAGTTGCTCATGTAGTGATATAGTTGTGAAGTATGTTTTAAGTAGAGTTCCTCAACATTATAAGGTACCTCCTGCTATATTAAAGTCGGATGAAAGTGTAAAGTTATATATGATTGATGTGGTCAATAATGGTTCAAGGCCGATTTTGAGGGTTTCTTTGGTAGAAAAACCATTGGAAGTTACTTCAAAGGAAGGGGATAACGAGGAAGTTGGCGGAGATTTGCCTGGTTTTAATTTGAACTACGAGGGCAATGATTTGTTAGTTGAAAAATCAAGAGTAGACGGTGAATTGGGTGGTGAAGAGGACACTATGACCGTTTATACAGAAGGTGTAGTTTGTGAGGAGGAGAACACTATGGCAGTTTATGCAGGTTCAAAGGGGGCAATTACAGGTAGTAGTAAATCAGCTCATGTTTTTACGGATGGATAGGAGTTATAAATAGGGTATTTATTTGACAACAAAGAGGAAGTGGTGAGGAAGCTAAAACTTGTTGCCGTGAGAGGTAATTTTGAGTTCATCACCAAAAAGTCAAATTCATTGGTTGTGATGGTTGCATGTTGTGATCGAAAGTGCAAGTGACGGGTTTATTGTAGAAGGTTGGCGGAGTCGGAAAAATTTATTCTTAGCACATATACCCGTGAGCACACATGTGGTTTGGGAAATATTTCAGGTGAGCATTGACAAGCCTCAGCTGATGTTATTGGACAATTTGTCAAAAGTCAGTTCGTTGAAGGAAAATGTCCATCTCCTAAAGACATTCAGAGACTTGTGCGCACAGAGTTGGGATATGCTGTTAGTTACTGGAAATGTTGGAAAGGGAGACAACATGCACAAGATTTTGTGAGGGGCACGCCAGAGCACGGGTACGCAGTATTAGAAGCGTACCGTTATATGGTTGACTTGACAAACCAAGGTAGCAAGACGGCTTTGAAGTGGGACAAGAATATGACGTTTAAATATTTTTTTGTTGGTTACGGTTCTGCTATAAGGGGTTTTGTAAACATTAGAAAGGTGTTGGATGTTGATGGTTGATTTCTGACAGGAAAGTATAAAGGTATATTGTTGGTAGCTACTGCACAAGACAGCGAGAATCACACATATCCTGTTGCATGGTGTGTGGTTGACTCTGAGAATGACAAGTCGTGGACTTGTTTTTTTCAGCAATTACGTACGATAGTGCCTGACAGTGACGAGTTGTGCATAATATCCGATAGGCACAACTCTATAAAGAAGGGGATTGCCACTATTTACCGTCAAGCACATCACGGATTCTGTATAAGGCACCTTGGGGAGAACCTAAAAAAAAAGTTTAAGTGTGCTGGTCTCTTTCAGACATACTACATGGCAGTAAAAGTTTATTGGGTTGATGAGTTCGAGGAGCACTTCCAGCAAATCCGAATCAAGGATGATAGAGTTGCTAAGTATCTTCAGCATGATGTTGGTTTCGACCGATGGAGTAGAGCTTACTTTCTTAGAAGAAGGTTTGATGTCATGACCACAAACATAGCCGAGTCCATAAATTCGAAGTTGTTAATAGAAAGAGAGTTTCCAATAGTTGCACCTTTTGATGCAATCCAGAGGACATTGTCATGGTGGTTCCATTAGCGTCGTACGGAGTCAGATAATTTTACTACAACCCTTGTTCCGTCAGCTGAAAAATTATTGCGAGAATATATGGAACTGTCAAATGCACTGTTTGCTTATTCTCTTAATGCTCAAGAGTTCACTGTGCGTGGCTATGGTCTGGATACCCTAGTTAACCTTGTTAGTAAAACTTGCAGCTGTAAAGTGCTCGACATTCAATGTTTACCTTGTCTTCATGCACTAGCAGCACTGAAACACCAACGGAAGCCGGATTTTGGTTCAAGAATTTACATGGAACTGTGCTCCCCTCTCTATATGGCAAATCACTACATGCTAGCTTATTCAGAAACGATATATCCAATGCCTTCAGAAGAGCAGTGGCTAGTGCCGCCAGAGTTGGCTGACATTATCATCCATCCGCCATTCAAGAAGACATAAAAGAAGAGAAAAAGAGTTAGGCGTATTCCATCAACCTGTGAGGTTCCCCGGAAGATGAATAAATGCTCAATTTGCAAGCAACCTAGCCACAAGAGAAGCAGTTGCCAAAAGTAATCACATGCAAATCCATAAATTTAGATTCGAAGAAGGATGAAATGCAGGGAGTTGCCAAGGCCATCCGTTGATGAGTTATTGTTTTCAATTATTGATGTTTTAAATTTTATTGTTACCTTTAATAAATCATTCTTTATATTTAGTATTCTTGTTACATGGCCTAAATATTTATTGGTGATTTTAGTTTGGAATTATGTTGTCAGATTGAGGAGAAAGTATGGAATTAATACGTGTTGG